TTTTTTTTTTTTTTTTTTTTTTTTTTTTTTTTTTTTCTTTTTTTTTTTTTTTTTTTTTTTTTTTTTTTTTTTTTTTTTTTTTTTTTTTTTTTTTTTTTTTTTTTTTTTTTTTTTTTTTTTTTTTTTTTTTTTTTTTTTTTTTTTTTTTTTTTTTTTTTTTTTTTTTGTTTTTTTTTTTTTTTTTTTTTTTTTTTTTTTTTTTTTTTTTTTTTTTTTTTTTTTTTTGTTTTTTTTTTTTTTTTTTTTTTTATTTTTTTTTTTTTTTTTTTTTTTTTTTTTTTTTTTTTTTTTTTTTTTTTTTTTTTTTTTTTTTTTTTTTTTGTTTGTTGATGCGCAGCCGGCACGTGCGCATCGATAAGAGTCCACAACAACGGCCAGCGCTAGCGGATTTAGGTTACTGACGGGTGTGTCTAGGCGAATGCAGCCGCGTGGGTGGGACAGGACGCATGAGGCAGGTCGTGGGTGTGGTTGTGTGTCGATCCGCGAGGTGGTGGGGGGGGAGGTGTTATTTCTCATTAGAAATGGCTTAGACTCTTTGGGCATTTGTTAATTCGGAACTAGAATCTCTGCTGAATCGACAGTGCTAAGCGGCTCGGCGGCGAGGTGCGCTTGGCGTGGCGGCGGCGGCGAAATTTTCGAAGGGAAGCCTACTTTTTCGGCGTAAATGACATTGGAAAGTGGCCATTTCGAGTTGCGTGCCGGCCCAAAGCCCTTCGTTTACAAAAAAAATAATGGAAGCAATTTTGAGTTAAAAAAACAACATATACGTGTTGTCACTTGCCGACGTGGATCAGAGGATTGGCATTGTGATTTCTCAAAAAAACTATCTTGCCTTGATTTATGGGGAATTTTTTCGTAAGTATGGCCGCCTATGGAAAATGACGGGCTTCACTAAGAGCTAATAATAGCACTCGCCGATTCGCAACGAGATACGCGCGCTTACGCTTCTGCGCGTGTGTAAACCGTCCGCGTATATACCCGCGTGTGCGGTACGCAAGTGGGGACACACCGTAAATTCGCACGGACGCAGCGGTTTGCGCGCGCGCGCGCGTGTAGTGTGTGTGCCTTGTGTGGGTGTGTGTGGTGTGTGTGTGGTGTGTGTGTGTGTGTGTGTGTGTGTGTGTGTGTGTGTGAGCCCATGCGCGTATACACACGTGTGCGTGTACACCCGTGCGCGTATACACACGCGTGCGTGTACACCCGTGCGCGTATACACACGTGTGCGTGTACACCCGTGCGCGTATACACACGTGTGCGTGTATACACCCGTGCGCGTACACACGTGGCGTGTACACACGTGTGCGTGTACACCCGTGCGCGTGTACACCCGTGCGCGTGTACACACGTGTGCGTGTACACCCGTGCGCGTATACATTTTGGGTGTATACCTGCCCCATGGGTTTCATTAAGGGCGAATAATTGCAGTCGTCGATTCACAGCTAAACACGCGCACGCGTGTACCCCATCCGCGTACACACCCGCGTGCGTGTACGCTCTTCCGCGTGTACACACGCGCGCATGTGCGCCCATCAGTGTATGCACACGTGCACGTAAACACGCTAGTTAGTGTGCAGTACGCAAGTGCGTTAATACAGACTTGCGCGTGTAGGACCGTGTGCGCGTATACGCACGTGCGTGCGTGTACACCCGTCCATATATTCTCCTGTGTGTGTACGGCAGCAGCAGTACCGCAGGGTGCAGAGCTCTGGCTCCTGTCGTATATATTTGTCCCAACGTAAAAAAAATGCTTACCCCACCCCGATTTCATGATCAACAGGTGACACTCCAAAGACACTCAATATTTTTTACATACAATATATGCTACGCTTATATATATATGTCAGACAAATGCTTTTAGCGATAGCGATAAAATTTACGTACACTAAAGCATACATAATCGCATCGCTATGTTACTCGAGGTAACCTGCGGCGGACTTTAGACGATCACTTAGAGTCGGGCGACTATCATAGCACGGACACCTCGTTATAACGAGCACCACTCACTGGGCGTGTGCACAGGCGATACGTCAGATTGAACTTGCAACCTGAAGGTTGAAAGTGCAAACGGAATCCGGGTGTATCTTGCGTGCATATGGGGAGTCGCGTTCATCGTGGAACACTCACTCATCTATAACGCCGGACTAATATTGGGGCGGAACCACGTGCAGGCCGATAAAGCTTGTTGATTTACAGGGAAATAAACTTCTCTCGTGATACAAAGCGCGTGACGGCATAGCGGTAGCTCCCGGAAGTCTCAGAAAGTAATTTACTGCAGACACACACCCCACTGCTTACGCTAACTCGCGGTCTAGGGGACTGTGCGTGTGATCAGCGTATATATGACCACGCGCATAAATTGCATACCTGCGTTTACCGTTAATGCCAACAGAACCGGTTAGCTCATCAAACACCGCAACACAGCACTGTGACAGTGTCAAGTAGTTTCTAACCGTGAATAACAACCGTCGGTCGTCAACAAAACTGTGCCAAGTCGCGGCTACAAACAAGATGGCGTTGTGTAACGTTAACGTGTGCGTGTACGCGCTCGTGGTGATGTTCGGGCTAGGCTCGTGGCTGGCTGTCAACGGTCTCTTCGTGGAGCTATCGTTTCTCGTCTCGGAACTGCCCGAGGGGTGGAGCCTCCCATCCTACATAACAATCATTGTACAGGTAGGTCCACCCACACCTTATGGTACCAGACGTAGATTCCTACCTGCCATTATACACCCTATCTCTCATTGTACATCCTACTTGCAATTATACACCCTATACCTACCATTATACACCTTACCTCTCACTGTATATTATATATCGTACTTGTCATTGTACATTCTGCCAATGTACATCCTACCTGTCATTGTACACCCCACTTGTCATTTCACAGTCAGAATAAATGAGTTTTATTGTCCCCCCCCCCCAGCACACCACACACTCAACACACACACACACCACACACACAATACGCACGCACGCGCACGCACGCATCACTACGCACCCCCACGCACAACACACAAGTCACTGACCGCTGCGCGCGCGCACACAGCACACACACCACACAACCAACACGCACACGCTGCGCCGCGCCCGCACAACACACAACACACAACAACAACAACGCAAACACGCACCAACGCCACCACGCACACGCACGCACGCACGCACGCACACACACACACACACAGTGTGCCCCTCCCGCATTTCCCTTTTCACTACTGTTTGTACTAGACAGTGTTTGATCTTTCACAGATGCAAACATTGGTCGAATAATCGTCACTCTGCTACGTGGTCGGCGTTGGCAAGAGACTACAGACGGTGCTAGCCTACAGCATATACTTGATCAGTCTAGCAGCCTGCATACTGATGATATTCTTCTGGAAGAGACGACAGTTGTGTTTGGGAGGACCACAGCACCGCCCTGCTCTCTCTCACCTTCTTCATGGCTCTAACCAGTACGACACACAACGTAGTCTGGCTTCCCTAACAGCGCAGTATTCAAGTAAAACAATATTTCTATATTTTCTATCTATTTCGATCACAATAATACGACGAAACACGTACACACAACATATCGCCTATATTGTATCAGGCGGAATCAATCAAATGTGTTTTTATTCACTCGTGATTGTATAGTAAACATGTTTACGATAATATAAAGTTATAATATAGAGATTTTTCATTTAATGCTGTGCTAAACAACTGAAAATATCGTATGCCAAAAAATAATAAACGTTACAAGTGAGCCTTCTATGCATTTAACAACTTCTACTATAAATACAACTTATCTACGACTCGGTTCAAAACGGGTAACGTGTAATCAAAAGCAATACCCGTTATGAACAAAGGTAAACGCGGGACGTTATTTATTCTTACATTTCTCATAAACTGTTGACAGAAACATGAGTAACTTACGCGTTTCTCATAAGCAGTGTATAGAGCTCCAGTCTACGAAAAAATTCACTGTTAAGACCTATTTTGTTTCTAGCAACGGGCACCGGCCGTCTTCTTTAAAGTGATTACGTCACCCGTAAATTAGTAAACAAAAAATGAAAAAATATTTATACTTTTTCACAAAATATAAAGTAATTCTGTTTACATTTTATGGTTAAATTGCTGCATTATACTTCCTATTTTACTATATTGTTCGGATGTGAACATACACTCGTAACCCATACATCGCCCATACAAGCAATTAATGTTAGACCAACATTAATTCAAATCGTCCAGGTTTTTGGATTTTTAACTAGTGTGGAAAACAATCTTATCAGGTAAGAATTTGACGATTTGTTTACCCTCTTCGTTAGTTCTTACTTTTAATGTAAAAAATGTGGAATATTTTTTTAAACAAATTTTACCATAGAAAATTCGTGACGTAATCCCTTTAAGCAGTTTATAGAGCTTTAAGAGTTCCAAAAAAAAATTAACTTTTGTCCTTAAAAATCAAATTATCTAATAAATATAAATAAATATAAATATAACTAAAATACATCAATAAGATCCCCTTTAATAATAAGTAATTGTCTAACAAATTAAGCGGGCCGCCGGGTCTTATTTTTCGGGCACAACAGATACGAATACGTGACGGCGTTCTTCATCGGAGCCGGCCTCAGCGGCCTCATCCCGAGTCTGCTGGCACTCAGCCAGGGTTCGAACGCCGAGCCGACGTGCACGAACACGACGAACAGCAGCGACGGCAACTTCACGGTGGAATGGGTCTACGGCGAGCCGCACTTCTCCGTCGAGATCTACTTCCTCTGCCTCGCCGTGCTGCAGCTGGCTAGCGGCATCGCCTTCCTGCTGCTCAACGTGTTGCCCGTGTGCAAGCGAGAGCACGACCCGACGCGCGTCGACAACGACAAAAAGCCGACAGGTGAGAAGCCGAGCGGGGACGCGCCGGAGAAGACACCCGGGCAGCCGCGAGCGCACGACAACCCGGCGTACGAGGAGGACAGAGACGAGTACGACGACTTCGTCGAGTATAGGCGCGCGTCCGTCGCGATGGGAGAGTACGCCGTCGGGAGGAGGCTTTCGAAAAAGAAAGAGGAACCTCCGGCGGCCGCCCGCTATTCCTCTTCGGCCGTCGCCGCCGCCGGTGACCTGCCGGCGGGGTACGCGCCCGAGCCGGTAAAGCTGAGCGCGGGTCAGCTGGCGTGCCTCTACGTCGTGCAGATGTGGGTGTCGGCGTTGATGATGGGCGCGCTGCCGTCCGTCGGCTCGTTCAGCGCGCTGCCCTACGGCTACAACATCTACCACCTGTCGCTGACGCTCTCCACCATCGCGAACCCGCTCGCCTGCTGCGTGCCGTTCGCCGTGACGGCGGCCAGCGTGCCGTCGCTGACGGGTCTCACCGTTCTCGCCACGGCCGCCGGAGCGTATCTGCTCGCGCTCGCCGCCACCAGCCCCGAGCCGCCGCTGCTCGACACGTCGTACGGCGGCGCCGTGTGCGTCGCCGTCACCGTCGCCGCGTACGCGCTCTTCTCGTACGTCAACGTGTGCCTGGCGTCGCTGTTCCGTGAGCAGAGCCACCGCGCGCTGTTCTGGTGCGGCGTGGCGACGCAGGCGGGCGCCTTCGTCGGAGCCATCGCGCTGTTCCTGCCCGTGAACTGCTTCAATCTATTCGAGGAGACGCCGCTAGAGTGTGAAACAGTGGTTCTTAACCTTTTCTGAGTCATGGACCCCTTTGAGAATCAGGTGAAAGCTACGGACCGCTCCCCAGAAAAATGCAGTTATATCAGCACGTAAACATCTTCACGGACCCCCTGAAGCCCATCCACGGACCCCCTAAAGCCCATCCACGGACACCCTGAAGCCCATCCACGGACCCCAAAGCGTTCCACGGACCCCAGGTTAAGAACTACTGGTGTATAACGATAGAGATCGCTGCAAACGTTACGGGAAGTCTCGTGTAGCGACACGTTCCAAACATCAAGGAGTCTCGTGTAGCGACACGTTCCAAACGTCAAGGAGTTTCTGTATCGACACATACGCACAGCGGTTCATGAGTGCGCTAAACTGTGTGGTAATCATTGCGAAAGGCATGCACGCGGTTTCAAGGCTCGCCATCAAGAGGACGGGGTTGTACAATTTGTAGGAAATGTAGTTTATGAAATTAATATTCATTCGCAATTTTTGTTGCAATTATGCATATGCAAGAATTATTTTTGTTTTAAATATTATAATTTGCAAATTACTGCAAAAAACGGTTGGACACTCTTATTCATAGGTAAAGTTAGATAGTTACCCATTTGCCAGTATTCACTGTATTCTTTACAGTGGTAGACTAAGAGGCACATAGCCGCCGTCTTGGTACATGAACCAAATATTTTATTATTTTTTGGGGGATTGTACAAATAAAATGTTGGCAAATTTGTTGAATAAAAACCTAAAATACAAAATGATACTGCTTAAATTCGTTTACGTTTACTACAATGCAAAATAATTTATTACATACATTTGTACATGTTTCACAATGCAGGTCGACTTAAACTTATGAAGTATCACAGTTAAAAAACAAAGGATTTGACATTGCTAATTATTTAATTTAATATATGAAAATTATCTAATTCTATAATCGACTATAATTATGTCTTCCTTCCAAACCGAAATGTACGAAAGTGAATTTATTTCCTAATGGCAGTTTTATCTTGCTCATCAAATCTACTTGTAATGACATGTACATCATCTCCTAATCTTTCATCTACTTTGCTGCAGATATCATTCAAGGTGAGTTTCACATCCACGTCCAACGTGTTAACCTGACTTGCATCCACCTTACTATGATCTTTTTTGTTCTCTCCTCCTGCCTGTCTCAAAGGATTACTGTTGCTACGTGCTTCCAAAGGATGCTGATCTTCAACACTGGTAGAGGGCAGCTTCGACTGAGCGCTGTCGCACCATAGTTCATATCCCTGCTTTGTCATAAAGCGCCTCACTGCTTTACACTGTAGGCAGGTTAGCACGATGTGTTTCTCTCTTCGTCCTACGTAATTACAACCAAATTCTATCAACGGCAAATTTCTCGCGTGCGGGAAAACCACGAATCCCTGTGTACTCTAATGAAACATAAAGCATGAAACGAAAATAGACTCCGGGAATAATCAGTACATATATGAATAATATGATCATGGTAATATAGTGATGCTGTACACAAAACTACAGCATTGCAGTTTACTATACACCCAAATCGCTCTAAGATCGAGTTTCGGGCCCACTCGACATTTCTCGTCGATCATAGATAACAATATTGCAGCCAGTACTTTGAAATGAATGCAATACACTGCACGTTGAGATTATGAGCTAGCTGAGTACTAATATGGTAATACACATGAAAGAATGCACTCACGCTTGGTCCTGATCGTGGCAGTGAGTCCGGGAAGAAGTACACTCCAGCATCTTTTGCATAAAAATCTCTTGATGCTGTGGTGCCTTTATATGCAATACCAATCATCCAGTTTATGCGATTACATAGACAGCCTCAAAGGTGCACAAAATATTGTTATTCCTTATATTAAATGATATGTAAATATTATATATGTATTATTATATGTAATATGAAATATTCATTCAGTGATAGAATGATTATCCTCAGTACACTACATTTTAAACAAGTTTACAGCTTGATAAAAGTTTTGGATGCACAAATAAAAGATGTGAAAAGTAGTACAATAATGAAGCAAGGTAAGTGTAAAATTTACCCTGTTTACACAGAGCTATACTATTATATCAAGAGCGTATTAAGTATGAGAGCGTACAACCGTAAAATGCAACAACCATGTTGTAGTTTCAGCAGAATTAGTAAACTTTACGCATTTTATTTTGACAATTCTTTGTGGTATTATTATTCAGCAGTCATATCTTGACAACATAAAACCAACCGCTCGTCCATACGATATCCCTACGCTGAGATATTAAGCGGTCAAATCTAGTATTTTGGCGAAAGTCGAACTGGAGTTGGCTGCGACCGTACGACTGTCTATATATATATTAATTAGGGGTGAGTATTGCGACAAAACACGTCATTGCACTAATATTGCAATACGACATAAACGCTATTGCATATTCCAATACGTTATTGCGGAAGTGTATACCAATTGCGATGATATAGTAACAAATTTGATGGGTTTAATATCATCATATTATTGTATATATGACATTATTATAATTCTCAGTTTTTCCTTTGAGAAACAGAAGCACGGCAATGTTTTCACGCTGACAGCGCATGCCCTCTGTGCCGTAAACAATGTACCGCGTACTGAATACCGCCTGGTTTGTCTATATTCAGGCCGGGACACGGAGATAATTTGCATAATTTGTGTCACGTTGGTTTTGTGTTTATAACCAATCAGGAATGCTCATCGCGGTGGAGAAGGAGGGAAACTGGTGAGAAGGGAGGGGGAGAAGGGAGAAGGTGGTGGAGGAGGGGAGAAGCCTGGTGGAGAGGAGGAGGGGAGCAGCTGCGTGGACGGAGTGGTGGAGAAGGAGGAGGTGAAAGGTGGCAGGGCGGTGGCCCTTCTCTTCTGGCACCAACCTTCTCACTTCTCCACCACCTTCACCACCACTTCTCCACCAACCTCCTCTTTCTCCACCCAGCTCTTCCCTTCTTTCCCTTCTTCATTCTCGCACCAGCTCTCCCCTCCTCCTTCTCCCCAGCTCTCCTCCTCTCTCCCAGCCACCTTTTTCCCTTCTCCCCCTTCCTCCTCCACCACTGTCTCCCCTCCTTCTCCACTAGCCTTTCCCCTCCTCCTCCTACCTTCTGCGCCCTTCTCTTTCCTCTCTCCACCAGCTCTCCCCTCCTCGTTCTCACCCACGCACCTTCCTCCCTTCTCCCCTTCCTCCTGTCTCCACCAGCTCTCTTCTCCCCTCCTTTCTCCCACAACACCACCTCTCGCCTTCTGCCAAGCCTTCCTCCCTCTTCACCATCTTCTTCACCAGCTTGAAGTGCTGTCACGAACACAAGTGCGATTACAATCTGATTGGTTATAACCTAACACGTGATTAAAAATTGCAGAAATTAACTCCTGTACCGGCCGTGAATATAGACCAAACCCGAATACCCCTCTCGAAGGCACTTGACGATAGCTGGAATACACAATACCCCTGCTGCATAATGGCTACATATGGACGATTCTCAGCCCGGATATCCGCGCAAAAGCGCGCACGAACGTCCGCCTGGCGGCGCACTAGCAACTGTCGCTGACCTCTTCCGCAACGCCAGTATAAACGCCGACCTTTAGGGTTAGGGAAGTCCGGCTTTCGCTCTCATCGGCAGTTTCTCTGCGCAATTGCACGAGGTACACTACCTCAGTAGGTAGAGACGGGCTAGAAAAGCTCCCAATTCTTTGTTCGCTACTAGGCGCCGCTTCTTTGGCTGTAATAACGGAGTTTTTTTGTTCACTTGTAAGATATAATAGTAGCGCTAATGCGTAGGCGTTGAACTGGCTGAGCTTAAGAGGCTCCGATATATAGGGGGCAACGAGGCTGTAAGGATACTTAGAATACTCTAATTACTACAAGTACTGTTACAATAATACTAGTAATTAAGTAACTACTCTAGTAAGTGTAGTACTAAGTTACCCAGCACTACTAGACTATAGTCATAGTTTACTACCAGGACGGCAGAGCTACTACGTATAGTATTACTAATTACTGAGTACTAAGTACTACAGTAACTAGTACTACTAGTACTTAGTACTGACTACTACTACTAACAAGTACTAGCTCCAAGAAACGCTCTTTGTAGGGTTAGAATACCCCTATTACTGACACAACAGCACTTGAAGCGTTTCAATGAAAATATAGATGCTAACTAAATACGAAATCTATTTACTACCTACCACAATTCTTAATGTTTCTAGTATAGGCTACTCTCTTCGAGAAGTTGGGCGAGGTGCAAGGCTAATATAGAACTAGACTCGCTTACCACTCGATTAGCATCGAGGTGACCTAAGCTAACGCCCGAGAGGTGGGAGCGAGTGCCAGTCGTATGGGCTATAGGCGCGGGCAAGGCGGCGCAAACTGCTTTTGCAACTCCTGGTAGCGAAGCCTCGCCATTGGAACATATGCACAATACCGTTCCAGCGTTGGGGCGCGCAACAATGAGGTCAGCGAAGAGCGCCGGTAGTGTTTCCTGATTCTGACACGGACACATTTCCATACTAGGCAGGTTCGGCGATATGTCAAATTCGTACAGTCTTTTCTGTGATTTTCGCCAGTGACAGACAGCTCGGTTACGAACAAGCATTACTCGGTTAACAGTTTTATAACAAGTGCAACACTGTTTCACTGTTCCAAATGTCTGCCCTCTGTGTCCCCCCATACAATTGCAGGACTTGTTCGGGCTGGCAGCTATGGATTCGTGCGCCGAGGGCCTATCATTCGGCGCGACGGATCCAATAGCTTGCCAGCGCTGCCATAAACTGTCGTAGGAATTTCCGCGGTCGTGCGCCTTGCCGCGGACTCGCGCGCAAGATCGCCGCAGTCAATTCGGATAAACACCTTCTTCGGCAAACGCTTCTCTAGTACCCGTCTCATCTGGATACCTGAAACTAAAACTGAACTGAAAACAGTTGGCTGCTCGCTTCAGGTTGTATCGCGCGACGGCGGGCGCGGGCACTCAGGTGAGCATAGCTATATATAGACTCCCTAGTTGCCGTGCTCTCGGCCGGTTCGCTCCGCAGGACGTCTCCCCACTTGGCCCGCGCAGTATACGCGCGCAGTGCTTCCATGCAGTGGTTGCTTACAGTAATACTGTATCGTCGTGCAGGCATTGTGCTTTCGTAATATACAACCGCAGTCATAATTTTCGAGCGCCATTACCACTATACGACATAAAGGTACCAAGTGTCCAGTAATTATTTCTTGTTATACGCACTATCGTAAAATAATCGATATCCGAAGTTGTATCGCGAGTATATCGAGTTTTCAAAAATATATTGCAATAACGATATACGGTACATATCGTTACACCCAACTAAATAATATAGATATATATATATCACAGTTGTTCAGGCCAGATTAGTCCGCCGCGGCTCGCATAACTAGAGAACTCGCCGCAGCATAGAGGAAGAACTAAAGAATTTCAGAAATCAGCGACGTTCTGGACCGGCGGTTCTGGGCTGAAACAAAAATTTAAAAGAAAGTTAAAAAGTTAAAATCATGAAAAATTCAAAATTCTCTTCATCAATAGATGGCGGTGCGTACCGATTAACATCAGTACGTGTGAATCCATGTGTATACCCTTAAAGGTGGCAGTGGCCTAATCCTAGACAATGCCCCCCTCTCCGTCTCCTAAAGACACCGGTGATTTCTGGGTTCGACGTCCCACCACTGGGGAATTATTTTCCACGCCTTTTTCCCCTTTTTCCCTTTTTTCCCTTTACCTACGTATTACCCCTTTTATTACTCCCTTTAATTAGTATGTATTATTTTTAATTTTTTACTTTAATTTTAATTTGTATATTTTTTATATATAGTCTTTATTTTTGATTTATTATTATTTTTTTACTGTTGGGATGAAATGGGATGGGAATGGCAATGGATGGGATCCGGATGGTAATGGGCAATGGGATGGCAGTGGCAGTGGCAGTGGGATGGCATGGGATGGCATGAGATGCAATGAGATGGGACGGCATGGGATATGGGACTGCATGGATCGTGCGCATGGGGAGGGATGGAATGGGGATGGTGGATGGATGCATAGATGGATGCATGGATAGATAGATATTAGATTTGTTGGGTATTTTCGCTTTCAACAAAAGCGTCACCCAACTGAGTAAAGCCACCAATTTCCCCGGCAACGCGGGTATCCCGCTAGTTACTATATATAACAGGGTTAATTTTTACTAATCGTTTTTGCTAGTTTCGTCGTTTGTCTTTACTAATTCCACTGAAACTACAATATAGTTTTTGCATTTCACTGTTGTACGCTCACATGCTTAATACACTCTTGATTATATCTAGGTGGATAGTGGCTCTACCAAACACCCATTTGCGCTGCCACAGGCGAAAGAAAGCTCTGTGTGACAGAGCTTGATGGATAGATACTTAGTGGTAGAGAGAATGGGCAATTGATATTTCATACACTGGTTCCTTGACATCAAGCAACATATCAATTAATAAACAGACAGATACTTACATGGATAGAACCTTTTTCTGTAGCACCATCTTCATCACATATAGGTACCTATTGGCTAAACCAACATTTTCTGGATTATTCCTAATTGTCAGATAAGCTGCCTGGAATGAAAAAAGATTTACATTTACACACATATATTATAATTAATTGAATCACCCTTTGTTTGCATACAATTACATACGTGATTGTTGGTCCATAGGCCTACTCATGTTGAAGTACGGATTTTGATAAACATACTTTAAATTGTGGCACTTTTGTACTATTTTGAACCATTATGTGTGATTAATGTTCTCAGAAGGTCCTTACTATTATGCATTGACTGGTCTTAATAAGTGTTGTAGGTCTCGAGGCCGGTCTTGGCCTCGAGACCGGCCTCGAGACCGTTTTCCTTGGTCTCGGTCTCGGTCTTGGCCTCGGAGTGCAATGACTCGGACTCGGACTCGAGCCCTCCGGACTCGAGGACTCGGGTCGAGGCCGGCTCGAGGCCACTACATACATAGTACACAACTGTACATATTGTAACACACAGTTTACAAGAATTTAAAACTAAAACTCCTAGGTTTTCTAGATACACGGCCTAATCTTGTAACGTTTTCAATGGCTCGATAAAGATTCTTGTCTCTTTGGTTTGAATCTGCTGTCACTTCGTCCCTTTGCGCTTTTTCTACCACTTCTTTCTCTTCTTCTACCACTTCGAAGGTACTAGCACTCTCTCATTTGGTTCCACAACCCGTGTCATTCTCGTAAAACACAAATGGATCCGTTAATTTGACACGTTTCGTATGACTCGTGTCTCTGTGTTTTCGGCTGACTATACACTTTCGAATGTCTACGATGCACTGTTGCAATATTTCCCCTTTTTTTTCCTCTAGCCGATTTTCCCGATTTCTCTAGCCTTTTTTCCCTTTTTTTTCCTCTAGCCGATTTTCCCGATTTCTCTAGCCTTTTTTCCCGATTTTTTCTCTTTTTCCGATTTTTTCCCTTTTTTTTAAAATCAAAACTGGACTCGGACTCGGACTCGGGTGGTGTGGACTCAGACTCGGACTCGGGTGGCGCGGACTCGGACTCAGACTCGAACTTGGGGGGTGCGGACTTGGACTCGGACGGGGGGGTGCAGACTCGACTACAACACTGGTCTCAATCAACTCAACCACCATTCTCATGTCAATTTGAACCGATCACCTACAAGTACTAACAATACAGTAGTGCCGGCCCTTGCAGCTAGCTACTCTAAACAATATACTAACTAGCAACACTCAAATTAATTTTTTTTTCGGGGTCTCTTTTTCCCAACCCCCCCATTAAAGAGCCCCCATAAATTTATTTTCGGGGGCTCTTTTTGTGCTTACGGGGGCTACTTTTTGTCACATAAAATTACATAAATTTAGAGTTAGTAGTTGGTATCATGCCCCTCAATAACTGTAACACATATATACATGTGCATAACACTGTTTAATGTGCCTTTACTCTCTAAAACTGAATGTAAATTGATGTCTAGTATTTTTACATATATTTGTGTTATTTTTGTTTGTTTTTTGAGCTAATTTGGAGTACTCTGTGGATTGCAAAGGTTTTTGTGAATCCTGACTCTTGAGTGACATTACATGATGATGATACTAAGAACTTGAAGAAATGAACTTGAATAAAGAAAGACACCAATGAATTGAAAAATTATGACGAATCGAATTGAAATATTGATGTTTACCACTGTGACAGTGCACACTGCAGCTGCATGCATATGCATGCACTGCACTGAAGTTGACTGAACTGTAAACTGTAAAACACACAACGTGTTTGCATTGACTTTTTTTTCCTTCTTGTGAAGGACGGCAAGTTGGCAATTCATTTTCCGATTTGAAAGTTGTAAAAGGAAAACTAAACTAACGGCCGTCACTGTCACGGCATGATGTTACAATCATGGAAAAATATTACGGGGGCGATTTTTTTTATCCTATTCAAAAAAATAATCGCACTTTTTAAGTTTCCCGGGCGATTCGCCCTTCGCCCCTGTGTATTTTGAGGGTTGCTAACTAGTAAGCCCTACCTCGCTCCATTTTTGTTTACATATCTTCAGTACAACAAATACATCCTGCATTCATACTTCAGTTCACTGAGGAATATGGTAAATAGTTAGGGACATAATTAGCTTTCTGACAATTGGGCAAATAACTGGCATGAAATGTACTATATGCACTGTATCTATACCGTAATCAGTACAGTCAGTTCAGGGCATGTGTGTGATTTTACTACTATATTAACTGCCAACACTTCTCCCCAAAGAAAGTCAGTGTACAGGTATAACAGATGTGCCATTTGCTCTCCTTGCTCGCTGATGCTAGAGTGATTTACACTTCACTCATCAATACACGTGCACATGACATAGATTCAACAAAATGAAATGTCTTGCAAAACTGTTCGCATGCATTAAAGGCATGCAATGTTGACGAATGCTAGAGTAACTGGCACCTTGTGTAGTTAATAAGTACATAACCTTATAGCTAAATGCGTATTAGTTGTCCAATATCACTGCTGGTTACATTACAAGCAAGACTTGAATTCGGTTGTTGATATTCATTTACGTGCCGTAAATGTCATCTAGGAGTGAAGCGATAACGTAAACATTTGTGCGGCCCGTATGTTTTGGACGCCAGATCAAATGGAGGTGTCAGCGGTGTAACCACGGCGACGGACTAAACATGGAATTGGAGTAAAACACACGTACTAATCACGGACACACATGGACAGGCCTGACAAAAAGTTCTTTATCCCCAGTGTGTGTCAGTGTTTGCGAAAACACTGATGATAGCATTGCGTACCGCCGAGCATGCGTGCGAAAATGTCCGGTGCACTATAAATCTGTATCACACCCGCTTCGCCGGCAGCGGTTTGAAACTGTAAACAACCGATTTGTTGGCCTGCGGATTTCAATTAGACATTTATTAGTAACCAGCACTGATATCAGGGTTAGATACTAACCATTTAAGTTCATTAGTCCACAGGACTAGTAAAAGAAATGAAAGTGTCAATGACACTGTAGCTCACCACAAAAAAGGACACAAATGAGTGAGTGAGAAGAAGTCAGTTTTCAGCAAAGTTTTCAGTCAAGTCAGAAGCAACCATCGACGTACATTATAGAAACGAAGAGTATATATGGGAGAACTCCCATTGTATACTCTTGATAATTATATGTGTAATTTTTTTATGTGAAAATAATAAAT